CATACAACAACTCATCAATCCAATCCTAACACATTTTCAAAACTCAAAGTCATGACAACCTCAAAATTTTCTAAGTTAAAAATTCACATTTTTCATCAATAATTTTTATTGCATTTATGGCTACTACACATCATTCTAAGACACATTCATGTACAAACATTTTCCAATTGAGCTCTCTAAACACATCAATCCAACAAGTCCTCTTTAGGGTTCATAAATTCAACCACAAAATTAAACCATTGGAACACAAGGAAACTCACCCAAAAGCTTGGCACAAGGCTCCTCCTAAACATACTCCACCATTGGAGCATCAATCAACACCATTTTCACAAATCTAAAGGAAAGGGCCGCAGCTTTGGGGAGGGTTTTTCTCAAAATCTAGTGGCTTTCAAGGCTTGGGAGTACCACCAATGGATTTAGAAGGCCATTTCCATCAAATTTCAAGACAAGAATCAATGGATTTGGTGAAGAAATGGCTAAGTTATGGTGAAATGAAATCTTGGAGGGGAAGGGCTATGGTGGCTGCGGGTTTGAGCAAGAAGAGGGAGGAAAGTGATGCATGAATAGTGCCAAGCACATGTGGCTTAAGTCACTTAAGTGGGGTGGGTCCCACCGCCACCTCACGCGATTTAAAACTAATCCGAATTTTCCTCCGATTCCACTAAACGTCCGTAAATTCACAACCTATTTAGAAACTCAAATTTTTAACATTAACTATTCCCCTTTAATTAGGCTTGATCAGATGAATTAAGAGTCCTCCATTCGTTCGGAGAAAACACTGTTTTAAGCTATTATGCGCGCCATTGGCACGCTTCCCCAAACTGTCTTAATTTCATCGAATATTATAAGAAATCATATTTCCTAACTCATTAGACCATTTTTAACTCATATTTGAAACCTAGAGCTCAAAACTCAATCGGCACGTTTTACGGTGCAATCGTACCGCGGTATTTTTACCCGCGAAAAACACTATTCACTGATTTTTCTGAAACTTGCCTGTCCACTCAATTTTTTGTTCTGAACCCATTTCCAGGGTTATTTTTACCATCTGAGACCTTCTACTCAATTTTTATCTTCCTAGGGTTGCGTGTTGGCTAATTACCGTTTTGCCCTTTCTTTGTATTTTGGCCTAATCTTTTGGATTTTCACTAATCCATCACTTGATTGCTCACTTAATATTTTAATTTCTTGATTTAAAATATTGAGGTGTTATACTTTCTAATTGGATAAAATTTTTATCTCCCTTCCTTCTTCCCTCACGCGTTCATCAGCAGAGTGATGGGCATAAATTTCGATCTCTGGTTGTGTGGATAAACTCACAGCCAACCTCCCTCTTTTCCTCTCCTCAACCAAGCAAACTTGTAAAATTATCTTCTGATTCTGTTTTCTTGTATTTTCCCTAAACCGCAACATCATTGGAGTTCAAACGGAAGAACGATTTCACCTCTTCTTGGGTTTCTGTTGCAGAAACCGTGGAACCCCTTTTGAAGCAGAAACGAAGATTCAACGTCTATATACCTTTTCCCTCTGTTCAGCCGTGCCTTCCTCCTCAAGAAGCTGAGGCGTTGGTGGCTGTCTAATGGTCAGACGTGTGAGCGGCTTGGTGTAATCACAAGCAGAAATCTGAATCCATCTCTTTCTTTCTTTCTGCTCGGTCTTGAAGGTAAAACAAGGGCTGAACCTTCTAACTTTCTATTCTGTTTTGATCTGCTCCTTGCTGTAAAAACTGAACCCCTGATGATTTGAAGAAAATGTATCTTGTTAAAATTTAAAAATACTTTTACTGGTTGTGAATAAAGTGCTACTAGCCTAAATTAATTAAATTTAAAACGGTACGGTTATGTTTTCTCCGAATCTTCCTGACGAGAACTCTTAGGATTTCCCTCTGTTTTTGTTGTTAAAAATCCCTTTTGGAATTCACACAATCCTTAGGGTAGGACCCTTCTTGGCCGCGGGATGTAGGGATATTTTAGGCTTGGGAAGCTTTGGTTTAATGTTTAGAGAAGCTTGAACACTATGCTGATTTTTCTGTTTAAAATTAGGTGCTGTTAATTCGTGAATTGGACATTTTCGCTGCTGTTTGGAATCGGTACAGTGACGTTTTAGGTAATTGTGTGAAGGCACTACTCTTCCTACTTGCTAGAAGGAGCACGAGATGAGATCGTGGCTCCATGTCTTGATATATCTATACGTATTAATGTTGCTCGTTTTGACATCTTGTTAATCTTGCTACATATATATATGCTGCAAAGTCTTGTTATGATACAAATTATATGATCTTGACATACATGTTCATCATGACATTTTATTTTGTATGCTGCGTGCGTCACAAAGCATAGCATTCGAGCCTCAATTTCATATTGCGACAAAAAAATCATTTTTAAAAACTAAGCATATGGATGAGCATGCACCATATAGGCATTACCTACGGTACCAAGGTCTTGGGACAGTTGGCTTCAGTCCGCTTAGGCCACGGTTGGATCCCTTCTTGAGAAGCCATCAAGGGTAATCCATTGTGCTTGATAGTACGGGCACATTAGTGCTATAACGTACTCTTGGCGTTTTACGCATCTTGTTTAGCATATGGCAGCATGTATATATATATATGATAAATCTTGTTATTTCAACTATTTCGGGTTCTAGCTTATGCTTTTTGCATTTTGGTATTGTCTCACACTACTGGGAAATGTTTCTCACCCCTTTGGGGCTGCTATTTTCTGATGTACAATGGCAGGAGGACGCAAAAGTATTTGATGTTTTGTTATGCGATGCTTGGTTGTTTTGTGTACCCGTAGCTGGATTCATGGTTGTTTGTTGAGTTGGGTGATTGTGTTTGCAAGAAGGATAACTTGAAGTTTCATTATTCTGTTATTTTGGATTTTACAAAAGTTGTTTATTTTGTTTGGAAAAATTCTGGTCCAGTTACTGATCTTGAACTTTTGGTTAATTGTTGTTTTGGATTTATGACTATGTTTTTGGAAGTATGGATTGTTTTCTGAAAACTGTTATTTTGCGAGCAACTTAAAAGTTGGCGTCCCGGGGCTACGACCCTTCGAATGCGGCATAATTTATATGCACGCGAAGCCCCTGAAAGTATCTTTAAGAATCTGCACAAATCCAAATTTTATGGTAACTGTACGAATTCTGAAAAATAACGCAAGACAGCAGGTTTTTAAGAAAATTCACAGAATTCACGAGCAACTTGCGAGTTCGAGTTCAAGGGGCTATTCATCTCGGAATCGCACATATTTTATATGGACGCGAAACCCCGTGTATCTAGTTTCACCGTAGCGAAGAATCATTTTTACCCGACATCAGATTGATTTTATATGAATTTTAGAGAACAGTACCTTTTTCTGGTAAAAAGAAAAAATTTCAGCAAGCGCTTATTTTGAAACTTTCGCTGTTTTCATGAATAAACAATTTTAAGTACAAGGTTTTCTAATCTTGAGTAGTTCAGTAAAGATTCTTTGTGTTTAGCTTTTGCAAACGTTAAACCAATTTTTTTTTCCGCTGCGACTCTAATACAAGTTAGCAATATCGCATCTCTTGGATGCATACAAGAGGGGCGTTACATTCTCTGTCGTCTACATCTCCCGTGGAAGTTGTGTTTACTTTAGTTATATTTATTTAGTTTTCCTTTTTTAGTTATTCGAGAGTCTTTGTGGATTTGTAACTCTTCAATCATGAAAATGGAGTTCTCTCCTCTTCTTCCCGGAGGTAGTAAGCCTGCTTCAGCTTGAACAACACCCTTCATGGCTTGAAAATTCTTTATGTAGACTTTCAGTTTTAGGCCCCTGAAGTTATTGCTTGGGTTTTTTTTTTATTAAATGACTGAATTAATGCTTGGGTATTTTTTTTTTGAACGACATAAGTACATAACTCTCTTTGTTGTTACTTTGTGGTAACTGGTAACCGGTAACCGTGGGGTGGACTGAATTAATGTTTGAGTTTTTTTTTTATTAAACGACATAATTATTGCTTGGGGTTTTTTTTTGAACGACATAACTCTCTTTGCTGTTACTTAGTTTGTGTTAACCGTGGGGTGGACTGAATTAATGGTTGGGTATTGTTTTTATTAACTTTTATCCTAAACAGCTTTCAGCTAGTAACTCTTATGGTGCATCTGGGAAGCATTTAGGCAGAGGACTTTATTCTTTTTTTCTTTGTAAGTTATGCATAAGGCTACTCAAGCAATTTTTGCCCTGTTCGTGGATATTTATAGTATCTATTCAACATATGCAGCTTTAAGTTAGGAATTTCACTTAATGTAGGTTTAACGTTACATGTATTGTCTACAATCTACATAATGTTTTGAGCCATTCAATTCAACGGGGAACTGTGTTTGGGGAATTTATGACACATGGATCGTCTCTTGGATTCTGTCATGCCATCATGTCTTAGCCTCTAAGGTTAGACAATTTAGAACCAAAGCTTTTGTTTTTTCTACTTGAGATCTTTCCCTGTTCGATTTTTTTAACTCCATAATTCCTTTATTTCCAAACCTGCTAAACTCAAAACCACTCGTTCATGATTTATTAATAAGGCTCGAAAACATCAATACATTGAAATCACTTTCTGAATATGCTGATCACAGCCTCGAAAAGCCCCAACTTCAATCCTTGGTTGCATTTTTTTTAGTCCCTCAACTGAACATCTATTATTGTAAACAGACCTGCACTATATCTGATGTTTTTTGTTTGACACAGTTATAGAATTACAAGATGGATCATTCAAGTTCTGCCTCTGCCAGTGCCAGTAATAGTGCCACTGCTGCTACTAGTGCTTCTGATGCCAATGAATTATTAGATAAACCCTTATGGAAATATGTTACCAAAATAGATGCTATAGTGGAAGGAGGAGGAAATTTATCTTGGATGTGCAACTTTTGTAAAAAAAATTATAAAAGTTCATATACCAGAGTGAGAGCTCATTTGTTGAAACTATCAGGTAAAGGAATTGGGAAATGCTTAATGGTGTAAAATAGAGATCTGATAGAGATGGAGAAATTAGAACAAGAAGCTGACAACAGAAAGCAATCTAATGCACCCAAAAATGTACCTTTACCTCCTTCTAGCTCTTCCACGTGCCCAAAAAAAAGAAAAACTACAGGTTCTCTTGAGATGGCATTTAATGTTGGGGAGCGAGAAGAATTAAATTATCTGATTGCTAGAATGTTTTATTCAGCAGGATTGCCATTCAATTTGGCAAAGAACCCTTACTTCCAAGCTTCGTATACTTATGCAGCAAATCATAATATTGGAGGTTATTTGCCACCGGGATATAACTCAGTGCGAACCACTCTGTTGCAAAAGGAGAAAGAAAATATTGATAAGTTGTGTGAACCTATTCGAGAGTCTTGGACTCATAAAGGGGTGAGTATTGTAAGTGATGGGTGGAGTGATTCACAAAGGAGGCCACTCATTAATTTCATGGCAGTATCTGATGGTAAAGCAATGTTTTTAAAATCAGTTGATTACTCAGGGGAGATTAAGGATAAAAATTTCATTTTCAGGTTGTTTGTTTGAACTTTTGTATTCTATTTAAGTGTTTATTTGCTCGAGGGAGACTAATGATAAATTATTCATTTTCAGGTTGCTAAAGGAAGTTATTCAAGAAGTAAGAGAGGCGAATGTGGTTCAAGTAATCACAGATAATGCTGCAAATTGTAAGGGAACAGGGCAACTTATTGAGCAGGAATTCCCAACTATTACTTGGACACCGTGTGTTGTTCACACATTGAATTTGGCTGTGAAAAATATTTGTGCTGCAAAGAATGTGGAGAGCAATCAAATAACGTTTGAGGAATGTAGCTGGATTTCTGATATTGTAGGTGATGTTGCTGCAATAAAGCATTTCATTATGAATCATTCTATGAGATTGGCCATCTTTAATGAGTTTGTGAGTTTGAAGTTGCTTTCTATTGTTGATACTCGTTTTGCTTCAATGATTGTGATGCTGAAGAGATTCAAGTTAATAAAGAGCGGACTCCAAAATATGGTGATAAGTGAAAAATGGAATATTTATAGAGATGATAATCTTGGGGGGGCCAGACATGTGAAGGAAAAATTATTGGATGATTGTTTTTGGGATTCAGTTGATTACATACTTGCCTTCACTGCTCTTATTTATGATATGATCAGAGCTTGTGACACTGATAGAGCTTGTCTTCACTTGATATATGATATGTGGGATGCAATGATTGTGAAAGTGAAGAAAGCTATATACCATAAAGAGGGGAAGAGGATGGAAGAGAGCTCCTCTTTTTATGATGTGGTGCATCGCATTCTTGTGGATCGTTGGACAAAAAACTCAACTCCACTACACTGTTTGGCACATGCTTTGAATCCTAAGTAAGTTTTTAAATATGATTCAGTTTAAATTAATACTCTTGATATAATTTGACAACTTGTTGATTTTTTTTGCTTCTCTCTTAGATACTATAGTCAACAATGGCTTCTGGAAGATTCTAGTCGAGTTCCTCCACACATGGATTTAGAGCTTACTCAAGAGCGACAAAAATGTTTAAGGAGATTCTTTCCTAGCATGGAGGACTGAAGCCGGATTAGTTTGGAGTATGCAAATTTTATTACCAATAGTGGAACCTTTGGCGATTTTGATGCCATCAATACTCAATACACTATGGATCCGAAATCTTGGTGGCTACTTTACGGTACCTTTACACCGATGCTTCAAAAAATAGCATTGAGACTTGTGCAACAACCCTCCTCTTCATCATGTGCTGAACGCAATTGGAGTACTTATTCTTTTGTGCATTCCATCAAGAGGAATAAAATCACTCCAAAACGTGCTGAAGACTTGGTTTATGTGCATAGCAATCTTCGACTCTTATCAAGAAAGACTCCTAGTTATGCACAAGGAGCAAATCAAATGTGGGATATTGCTGGTGATACATTCGGTTCACTTGATGATATTGGAGATCTTCAATTTGCTAGCCTTTCACTTGATGAGCCAGAGATAGAGGCCATGATTATTCAAGATGGAGATGAAAATAATTGAACTGTGTGTAATCATAAGTAAAATAATTTTTCTACATTCTTCGGATGTTCTATTTTTTTTTAATATTTATGTTATGAAATTTGAATATTTGATTAGTATGAGTTATTATGAGTTGCTATATGTATTAATTGTAAATTATATTATTATATTAAAAATATTATTTAATATCAAAATGTGTCCCAACGTGTCCAAATTTAGCATTTTTTAGAATTAACGTGTCGGAGTGTCGTGTCGTGTCGTGTCGTGTCCCGTGTCCGTGTCCGTGCATCATAGGTTACATCCTCAATGTGGTGTGAGCTTTACAATTTCACGGTCATTCGCCTATTCAATTTTTGAGTGGTTGAATGGAAACATCGTTACATCCTCAATGTGGTGTGAGCTTTACACTTTCACGGTCATTCGTCTATTCAATTTTGGAGTGATTGTATCTTGAATGCTGCTCATCTATTCAATCAAACCCCAATAAAGCTCCTTGGTGGTATAACTCCGGTTGAGGTTGTTCATGGCATGGCTTCAATATATGATCATTTGCGGGTTATAGGCTGCCTTTGTTACTCTATAGTTATGCCTAAACGCTCAGACAAGTTTGCCCTATGTTCTCGTTGTCTTCTTCTTAGATATCCTTCTAATAAGAAAGGCTAGAAACTTCTGGACTTGGAGATAAATGAAGTTCTAATTTCCCGTGACGTCACATTTCATAAGGATGTCTTCCCTTTCACCTCAAAGGACTCTTCTCCGTCTACTGCCAACTTCTATACTAGTGATTAATGAACATATATTTGAGTCTCCAACTATGGATTCTCCAACACCTGTACCACAATGCCAAATCAGAGGGAGTCTTGTCTCTTCTGTTCTCTCACCTGCGACCCAATCACATGACAGGGGGAGCATAGATTATTCAGCTCCTTGCGTGCCTGCACCTATAGTTACTGGCCGCGAACGCAGGCAACATCAACCTCCGATTTATCTCAAGGACTATCATTGTCATTCTACTACTACACCCTCTTCACTCATCACCTCTCTTTCTGTCGCCTGAGGTAAGCCCTGCCCAATTGAACACTTTATTTCTAATCACAACTTTTCCTTGCAGCATGAACATTTCATTGCAGTTGTAAGTGGGGGGTTATGAACCCTCTACATTCAAAGAGGCCATGAAGGATCCAAGGTGGCGAGAGGAAATGAGGCTTGAAATCGATGCTTTGGAAGAGAACAGAACATGGACTGTCACCAAATTACCCATAGAAAAAAGGCCATTCCTTGTAAATGGGTGTTTCAAATCTAATGCAAAACTTACGGGTCTGTTGAACGCTACAAAACTCGTTTAGTCATTGCCGGCAACAATCAGATTGAGGGATTATATAGAGACTTTCGCACCTGTAGCAAAAATGGTCAGCGTGCGGGCATTTTTATCAATGGTTGTTGCAAAAGGTTTAGACTTACACCAACTTGATGTTCAAAATGCCTTCCTACATGGTGATTTGGATGAGAAAGTGTACATGCACTTTTCCCCTGGCTTCTCTAGTGGCTCACCAGGTGATGTTTGTAAGCTCCAAAAGTCTCTTTACGGTTTGAAACAATCTCCCGAGAATTGGTTTGCCAAGTTGCGACTTTCTCTTATTTTCTTTGGTTTCAAACAGTTCAAAGCTGATTTTGCATTGTTTACTTATTCCAATAGTGATAAATTTCTTGTGGTTCTTATTTATGTCGACGATATTATATTGGTTGAGTGTCACGGGTTTAATCTTCACCGCCCCTATTTAATTAATAAGTAATTAAGTCTTGTGGAGTTTCTTAGCATAGGTAGTTGAGTCTGTGCACTAACCACCCTTCAAGCCTAGTGGGCTCTCATGTGAGGGGGCGTGTTAGAGATATATAAAATCATTAATGTACCTTCACTCAATAACTTAAGCTTTTGGGTTGGATTGGTTCTTTGAAGTCATAAATTCCATCGCAACTTGCAACGAAAATTCACACCTACCGTAAATGTGTCATTAATACTCATAAATTTTTCCAACAATTGTATGCCCAAGATGATTTCGTCATAAATTGTGATGGAAAATAAACGTCGCAAATTTTTCATTAACAGTAATAAATTTTTCCAATGGTTGTCTGCCCGAGACTATTCCACTGCACTTTCCATCATAAGTTGAGACGAAAACCAAACCCGTCGCAAAAAATAAGCTTCATTTTTGAATTTTTAATTTTGAAAATTTCGCTAAATTTTGCATTAGGATTGAGACGACGTTTTATTTCATCCATCGCAAATCAGTGCCTTATTTTTTGAATTTCAAATTTTAGAAAACCTCTAATTTTTATTTTCGCATTGCGACGAAATACTCCAACACAAGCTGCGATGGAAATAATATCCCCTCGCAATTTTCTGATTTCCATTGCAATGTCGTCGTAATTGGCGACAGTAATAACTATTTGTCGCAAATATTTACATTTATACAACTCTTTTAAGTGTGGCTCGAGTTACAGAGGACCCAATCAGTACAATTATTGATGAGAGTGTTGTTTTCGTGAAGTTTCACTATGAAATCCTTGATGAAGAAGTCTTACTAAGAGTGTGACTTTAGGTATAGAGGACCCGATCATGATTTTAAAAAGAGGAGTTGTGATTAAACGTCAAAGTTATCATTTATTTTCTTTCCCCTTGAGAAAGCCATGTATATAATCATCGCGGATAAGTAAACAAACATCAAATTTGAGCTAAAGTTTCATCTCCCACAAACATAGTTCGAATTTACAATAATGGTGCCACAAGAGCGTTTAAACCCAAAATCCCCCGAGTTCTTTTCGAACCAACACCATGAGCTACAACATGTGCCATCAATTTTTGTCCTAGTTTTCCCACCTCAATAATGTGTGTGTGTGAATTGATTTCGCACCACTTTCACTATCTCCAAAACCCCTCTCTCCTTACATTCACTCTCATTGTCTTCTCTTCTTCATTTCCCTCTCTCAAATTTTTTTGTTTCTTTTTCAATATTTTTATTTTTTTTAAATATTATTTTCTGATATAACTTAATCTATGGCGAAACATTCCATAGCAGCAGAACAAGAAAAAGAAAAATGAGGATCATTCCAGAAGATTCTAGCATGAATGTCGTATTCTGGCATGATGAGTTACAAGGATGTTAGACTTGATTTTGGCATGATGCCTGCTCGTTCACTAATTTCTGGAACTTAATATCATGAAAGCTTCATATCTCCAAGTTATTTGTTGAGCACAAATCTACGGAAGTGTCCTGATGCACAATTTTTATCTTATGCTGGTGGGATAGCTTTTTCTCCTACGTACATTACGGCACTAAAGTTGACATGTAAATAGAAATGATAAAGGGAAAGCCTTTAAATTAGAGTTAACATATAAAAAATTATAAATTGTTATAATATTTCAATGTTTGCGACAAAATTCCTTCCCATCACAAAATACAAATAAAAACTCTTCACAATATCCCTCGCAAATCATATTGGGGAATACCATCTCAGACACTGACGCAAGTTATGATGGATACAATCTCATCTCCATCGCAAGTTTTGATCCCCTGGTTTGTGATGGCTTTTGTTGTCGTAAACTTTTGCATCGCAATATTCCATTGCAAATATGTCATTCTTGCCTTAGAATTGTTTTATGTTGCAAATTGCGATGGACTCTACGATCGTATTTTTGGGACGGAAATTTGGTCGATATTTCGTCGCAATTGTCTCCAATCGCAAATTGTGATGACTTTTGTCTGTCTCAAATGTCTGCCACTATTCCTCCATTTTCTAGTAGTGATAGGAATGCATGGTTGATACAAATGTTACATCCTTTTCTTTGCGGACATAAAAAGTTCATGTCTTGCCACATTGGAGATATTTAATTGATAAAGATCTCAACTTTGTGCACTTTTAATACTAAGATAGCACCACCAATAAGTGTGAATTCTGTGAGACAAGTGGCTTCAATACTCAAGAGGGGGTGAAATGAGTTTTATAAAATCTTTTTGCTAAATGTCTCCTTTGATATCTTAAAGAATATTTCTTGAATTAAATGATTTAACAAGGAAAATTCTAAGTGTAGGTGCTAGTATGTGATCAATAAATATAAGCTAATGAATAAGTTAACACAATCTAATAATGCAATTTCAAGATAAAAGTAAAGAGTTGAAGGTTAGAGAAATTACAAACAAGATGTATCCTGATTCGGTCACCACCACCATGACCTACATTCAGACTGAAGTCGCTTGATTAATCTTTTCTACTAACTATCAAGCTTGAGGGTACTTGACAAACCACTACAATCTTCCAAGACTTCAGGCTCTAGGATGCCTTTACACTTCACACTAAATTTCCTAAGGTATTTGGTAACCTCTTAAGTTTAAAGGGTTCACTCCCCTTTCAATTCAAGAAATCAAATGGAAGTGTTTAACAACGGCTAAGTACTCTCAAAGTACAGATTGTACAAGTTGAATAACTAATAGGTGTATAGCTTTAAATCAAAGATGAGCTGAAGTATATGGTAATGATCAAAGAATGTAATTTGTAAGAAC